CAGCAGCAGCAGCAGCAGCAGCAGCAGCGGGGCTGCTGCGGGCTGCGTCGGCGGCTGCGAAGACCCCCACGGCGCTGCTGCTGCTGCTGCTGCTGCTGCTTTTAATCCTTCTTTAAGCTTCTCTTGTCTTTCAGGAGGAACTGATGGAGCTTTGAGGTTTTGGGACTTGAGAAAAATGCAGCAGCCCGTCAAAGTAGGGTTTAGGGTTTAGGGTTTAGGGTTTGGGGTTTAGGGTTTAGGGTTTACGGGAACTGATGGAGCTTTAAGGTCTTGAGATTTGAGAAAAATGCAGCAGCCTCTCGAAGTGGGGTTTATTTTCTTTTTTGACGTTTCTAATCACCTGTTCCAGGGTTTAGGGTTTAGGATTTAGAGTTTAGGGTTTAGGGTTTAGGGTTTAGGCGGTTGTTCAGCAGAGCGCCAGCTGAGAGGGTTTAGAAGTTTACAATTTATTAATTTAGGGTTTTTAATTTAAAATTTTTGAATTTATTTTTATTTGTTTTTCATTTTAATTATTTGTTTTTAATTCAGTTATGACTATTTGTTTTATTTTATTCCTTTTGCTATTTTATTTAAAATTCATTTTTATTCTTTCATTTATTTATTAGCCAACTGCATTTACCATTTTATTTATTTCTATTTTTATTTATTTATTTATTTATATATATATATTTATTTATTTTTATTTATTTATTTATATTGATTTATTTATATTTATATATTTTTATTTATTTGTTGTTTATTAGTTCATTATTATTCGCTACTTTATTACTTATTTTTCTGCTGTTTTTCCTGTTGTTTTTCCTTTATTTTTTACTTATTATCATTTATTTGCTCACTTGTTTATTATTTTTATGTTTTATTTATTTATTTATTTATCCCTAAACAATTATTTATTTATTTATTTATTTGAATGTTTGCAGATTCTAAGAGATGTTCATTCTCATTGGATTTCTCATGTGGCTTTTAATCCTTTCCACGACCAGCTGCTGCTCACCGCGGGCACGCCAAACCCTAAGCCCTAAACCCTAAACCCTAAACCCTAAAGCGTAGGGTTTCGCGCGGCGGCTCAAACTGGTTGCATTTGTTGGAATTTTCCGTTGAATTTGCGGTATTAATGGATTAATTTGTTTGTTTTAATTAATTATTCTTTGATTTATTCATTTTAATTAATTATTCTTTTATTTATTCTTCAATCAGGCACTGACGGCAGCGTCAAGCTGCAGTGGGTGGAGGACGCTTCGGGTGTATGTACACCTCAGCAGCCCAAAGACAGACTCATCTGCGTCGACGAGACGAGCGATGTGGGTCAAAAAGGCCAAAAAACACAATAAATAACTCAAAGTGATCAAAATAATCAAATAATAATCAAAATAATTAAAAAATAATCAAAAAACAATGAATTAAATAATTTAAATCGCCAAATTGCTCCAAGTTCCACCAAAATCCATTCAAATTCACGCCGGGGGTCCCCGGTTGAAAGAAATGAAGCTGAAGGGCATAAGGACCCAAATGGAGAAGCAAAAAGAATAAATCAATTAAAATAATTAAAATAAATCAAATTAATAAATTAAAAAAATGAACAGAAATAAATTAAAGAAAGAAAAAGAGATGAAAAAGAAACAAAAAAGGCAAAGAGGCGCACAAACCTAGCGGTTGTGAACGCACCGTTTCTTCTTCTTCTGCTGCTGCTGCTGCTGCTGCTGCTGTTTGTAGTGCTGCTGCTGCTGTTTGTAGTGCTGCTGCTGCTGTTTGTGCTGTTGCTGTTGTTCACACGGGAGCAGCTACTGCGGCTTTTGCCTCTTCTGCTGCACTTGCTGCTGCTGCTGCAGCGTCTTCGCTGCTGCTCGCTCTGCGCCTGCTGCTGCTGCTGCAGCCCCGCCCCACCTGGTGCTGCTGCTGCTGCTGCTGCTGCTGCTGCTGCTGCAGGATAGCTTGTGCGGGCTTTGCTGGTCTAGCTGCGACGTTTGGCTATTTGCTGCTCTTGCTGCTGATGGTTCTTTGCTGCTGCACCATGTGCCAACAGCAGAGAAATATAAAATACTTTTATGAGGTAATTTCATTTTTTTTAATTTTATTTTTCTCTTTTTGTTTTATTTGTTTCTTTTTATCTTTTTTTCCCTTTTATTTGTTTCTTTTGTCTCGTTTTATTTGTTTTTAACGAATTCATATTTTCCGCTTTTTGAAATTTGATTGATTGATTTATTTGTACTTTTATTATCTGTTCGCTTTGTTTGTTTGTTATCTTTCTCACATTTGTCTCTTCTGCTGCTATTTTTTCACAGGCGACTGAAGCCCTTTAAGGATTTAGGGTTTAGGGTTTGGGGTTTAGGGTTTAGGGTTTAGGGTCTCATTGACC